AGACATCGCCTGATTTGACAATGCTGCTGACCAGATGCCAAATAGAATAGGAAAGAATTCGTTTACCTTGCTTTATTATTATTATTTTTTCCTTTTTCCCTGTTCTTGTCACTGTTTTTCTAAACTTCTTCCATGTCTGGGGTTACAACTACAAACACTGCATTTGAGTCACGATATTCTCAGAAACCTGGTTGAAAGGTGGGGGAACAGAGTTAACAAGTTCAGCACTGTAACTAATAGCTGAACAGGTTCCTGGCCTAAGGCAGGTAACCAGATGAGACTCGGTTTCTTCAATTCTCAGAAACAAGAAACAGTCTTGGGTGTCTTTAGACAGTATGAATCAGTCAACGAAGGACTGTCCTAATGCCTCAAATACATACTGGAATACGGTTCTACTTCAACAGGTATTACACAGTAAGAAAAGGACCAGTTCGAACGGCTTTTCCTCTTCGGAGAAAGTCGAGTTAGAATATGCTAGGTTATCTTAACAGAAGGCTGGGCAGAAAAATTAGTCCCCCATTTCCTGGAAATTTGAACAATTTTATTTAACCACGCCCCTTCTCTCGCGCTCACTTCCCTACCCCCACCGCCCATCTCCACCCCAGATCTACTGTGGGCACTGAAACATTCTTTAAAAACAACAAGACAATTAGAAGCTCTTTGTTTTTGCTGATTCAGGGAGTCACCTAAATCTCTCTCCTTAAGAAGGTTTGATTCGCTGCCTGTCCAGCCTGGGATAGATGGGAATTGGGGTTGTGGGATGGGGGGAGGGGGGTCAGCACAGGATCGGCCGCCTCTTTGGGCAGGGCAAACTGACACCTGGGCCCCAGGTTCCCCACCTAGGAGTCAGGGGGAAAGATGGATACGGAAAGCAGGCGGTCGCCTCTCTCGCCCGGCAACTCCGCTCTGGCGTCTCCCGGGCAGGCCCAAGCCTATTCTGCTCTCAGGCTGCAGCCCCTCACTACGGGAATCGAGGAGGACGGGGTGAAAAGGGGCCCGTGCAGGGCGGGGAGGGGGGGGCGGGATGGCCGATCTGACGAAGGCCCGCCCCTGAGGAGATGGAATCGGCATCAGGGCGAGAAGGGACTGGTCCCTGGAGCGCACCAGGCGGCTCCGCCGGCCCGGTACCTGGTCCTGGAGTTAGCAAGCAGTTCCGACCCCGTCTCAGCTCCGCCTCCTTAGTTTAGGGCCGCGCCGCCAGGCCGGTTGCTGGGGGTTGGGGGAGGTACGCAACGTGCCATGCGCAGTAGCGGGACCGGGGTAAGGCGGGTGGAGAGCTCCGCCCCGCCCCGGCTCCTCCGCGGAGCGGGTGAGGAAGCTCCGCCCCCTGCCCCCCGTCCCTCAGCTCCGAGCGGGTGGGGCCGCTCCCCAGCGCGTCCTGCGTCGCGTCGGGCGCGCCAGGCCCCAGCTGCAGACCCCCGGCGCCCGCCGCGCGGAGAGCGCCCCTTCGGTTCCAAGTTAGCTCGGTCGGCGCAGCGCGTTCCTGAGGGAGGGCATGCGGTCTCTAACAGAAGGGGTCCTTCTCCTCAAGTGTGTGGAAGCCGAAGGCGTAGCTTGGCGTCGGTGAGGCCTGGGGGTCCGACAAGGGCTCCCTGGAGCCTCCCCGCCCCTGCAGCAGGAAGGAAGTAGGATGATTTCAATAATGAAGACTCAGGGGGGACTAGAGGAAGGCAAACAAACACAGTGATGACTTGGCTACTTGAAAAAAAGAGATTTATTTTTTTCATTTCGTGTGGTAGGACTGCAATGGAAAAAGCGGTCTCGCACTTTTCTTTGAAGACATCCCTAACGCCCCTCCAGCACCAGACTGACCAGCTGCAAAGAGAAAACCCACTCTTTCTCTGTGCCTCAGGTTCCTTATCCCGTCAAGTATCGAACACTGGCTCTGACCCATGACACAGACTTATACTGGCCCAGCTGCCAAGATGGGAGCGAAGTTCAGCTACATCCAAACTGACGGAAATATGCGAATGTGAACGTAAACTTTGCCAGTGACTCAGGACCTCATTCAGTTTCATGTACATCACTTTGATCTTACCTAGTGCTTTAACTTTCTAAAGCAGGACCCACAGTTTTCTCTCATTTTCAAAATAAGAGGCCTCTCTCCGCAGCAAACGGTAAACTGACAAAAGCAAGATGTAAAAATTGAAGTAAAATTCTTGGCGATGTTCTTTAGAAAAGACCTTCTTCACATGTGGTCTTTGGAATTGAGGGTGCCGAAAAGGTCGGTGCCTGAAAAGATGCCCAATGAGGCAGCCATCGCTATGGGGAATTTAAACATGGAGGCTCTTCCCAGCCCATTGGCCCAGCAGCCATGTCATTCTCTAACTGGATGTTAAGGTCTCACCATCTTCGTGACTGCCCGCCCATAAAAGCTAGTGGGAGAAACTTCTGGCCCAGCTTCTGTTGTGACTGTTTCAAGGAGCAAATTTACATTCACTTTAGTTTTTCTTGCAAATGGACCTCCTAAATCCAGATAACTTAGAAAGCCAGTGTAAAGAAAAGTCAACTTTCAGAGTTTACAAAGACTCCTGCTTTGCTTTTGACTTGTGATGAGCAAGTTTTGCATTGAACTCCAAGCATCCAGTTTAAACTAAATGCACTGGCCTCCAAGATACCATATAAATTGTCAGAAAGGTAAGGTAAAACTAATTGCCTTGAATACTCAAGTGAGGGAAATGCTTATGACCTTTGGTTTAGTAAATTGAGCAGGATTATTTAATTTGTAGAACGTTTTATATGTCAAAGAGCGTTACACATGTTGTCTGTGTAACTATTTTCTTCCCTACCTCACAGGTAGGTCAACACCAAGAGATATGTGTGAAGTTCTCTCATAAACTACAGTACTTTAAAAATGTGAGGTATCATCCTATTGGGTATAACTGCCTCCTCCCTTTTACATCCTTTCAGATTATTTCATCCTTTCAAATCATTCAAAATGAGTAGAAACAGGAATAATAAGGAAAGAATCTGGGATGATAAAGTTCAGTATTTCACCCATCCCACCAAAACCAACAGATCCTTTGTATAACACTGCTCTAAATAAGTTTCATGTCCTATTGGACGGGGGAAAGAGAATACCAATCAATGTTTTTCTTTGGTCTAAGTCTCATCTAAAGAAGAGTTTCAACTTCTAGTGCATCACAGGAAAAAGTTCTATTACTAAGGAAACAGAAAGGTATTACTGTCGCCCCAACCCCCATTCCAAAATACCCTGTCACATTTTGCAGATAAAGTTAGAGAACTCTGAAAGGATCTGCTTGGTTTCCATTGGGAGAAAGGAAAGCAAAAGAGAATAAAGCAAAAATGTACCACTTGGAGAACAGTCCTAGATGATACCTCACATTTTTAAAGTACTGTAGTTTATGAGAGAACTTCACACATATCTCTTGGTGTTGACCTACCTGTGAGGTAGGGAAGAAAATAGTTACTATCCTTACTTTGTAGGAAGAAGAACGGAACAGAGACTCAAAGAGGTTACTGACTTGCCCAAAGTCAAGTGCTTAGTATTGACTTTGCTGGCACTATAGCCAGGTCGTTATCTTCCAGTTCGGTGCCCGTTTTGTCCTTGCTAAGTGCCCATGCAATGCACAAAAGGAGGGCTTAGTGGTTTTCCAATGTGTGGCAGTCAACAGTATTCTCCTTTCATTCATGGGAGAGATAATGGTATCTTAACTAAAGAGGTAGACTTTGGGGAGGAGCCCATTAATAATATATATGCCTCTAAAAATATAGAACATTCTAAAAATAACGGTAACAAACTAAGGGATTATTATCAAAGTCAACTCCTTTGAAGGGAAAGCATTTCAGCACTGACTTCCGTTGAACAGAAAGAAGAACATTCCTATGGGCTTATACTCTTGAAGGGCAACCCCAGAAAAGTAAAGGCGGCACTCTGAGATTTTTGTCAATTAGTTTAATATATGTCCATAGGTAGTTCATATGAATGCTTAAATTACAAAATTAGCTGCCATGGTCCAAATGTGTGGGACTTTAAGAAAGCTTTTATTAATCAAAAGATAGCTAAGCATATCAACTTTGATTTCTAAAATGTATTTTTAAACTTTGTAAAACAAGGCTAATTCTAGAATTATATAGCATTAAAGTAATTAAATCTTAGGTTATTTTTGTTATTTTAATAACTTAATTTCATGAACTGTTAAAAAAAATATTACATTTGCATCTCCCAGTTTACACATTTCTGCATTAACTTAGAAAAAAATCCATGTGAAAAGTTCCCATGCAGTTACAAAGGCAGCAGCACATACTGCTTTCACAGCAACTTGTTATTGCCTCAGAACACACCTGCACATAAAGCATCAACAAAAAAATATCCACCCACCCCTCTCCCACCAAAAAACCCAACCTTTTCCCATCCCCAGCAAAAATTACCTGGTACAAGCAGTGACTTAAAAAATGCTTTCTTTAGGAAGCATTTATAAAATGCAGAGATCTGAACAAGCTAAATGCTCGTGCAGATAGATGGGCCTCTCCCCCAAGAGTTCCCTCCTCAAGAGGCAGAAAGAACTCTCAATAGTTTAGGAAAGCTCATTTTTAAAAGTATATTTATGCATATTCATGGCTATTTCTTTGAAAGAATATACCCAGCCTCAACTGTGGAAGAAATAAAAGCAGAAGGAAAAGCAAAGGGACACAGCCATAACACAGAGAATAGAGCTTCTCTATGAACATCCAATAGTTTGCAACAAACAAGAAGGAAAAACGTGTAACTTCACATAGACCACTGATCGGATCTAGGTGAAGCAGTTAATTTTTCATGCATTTGTTACTCAAGGAAAACGTACAACCACTTAAATACAGCATTCACATTGTCATTAGCTTGTGGTATCAGCTCAGGAAAAAACTGTGCTCCTGTACTACCTATCCTTAGAATTTTCCATGTACACGTAAGTATCCTAAACCCTATAGATACAACACTGTCATCAGCACCTCCCAGCTACAAAACATACACTGAACTACATTATGTTTTGAGTCCCTGAAATTTCAATACCACATAGTGTTCTAAATTTTACTTTTTTACAAGGTTAATGTACACACAGAAGAAAATACCAAGCAATGTTTATTGTGCAATTCCAATAGTTATTTGTGGAATCTTGGTTTAGGGTCAGTCTTTATAGCCTTTGCAACTACCCAGTTTAAACAAAAAGCAACAATCTAATTATGTATCTATAAATTTCATGATATTTCTTCAAACATCAAAGCACTAAAAGCACTGATGATTCATGTTATAATTTTAAAAATATTTTAAAACTACACAGATCTCATATATCATTCCTTTTATAAAGTAATCAAAATAATTTGGTTATCTGGAAGAGAATTACTGAAACAGAGCCCTTCCATTCCATCTATAACCTCTGTAAAACTCCGAACCAAAAACAGAACAGATGATGAAATAAGGATTTCTTAGTCACTTTGGGAGTGTTTGAACTTTAAGATGAGAAATGGACTGGTATTTTTTGTTTCCAGTGAATTCAGAGTTACAGTTGGCATCAGGACTCCGGTCTCTGAGATGATTTTACATGGCTTTCACTTTGATTTGTTTCATTTTCATTTGCTTCTTCTCCAATTTCTTTTGCTCACGCCTCAAGGCAGCTTCCTAGAGAAAGAAAGGGAATCCAAACTAAGCTCTAAGCACACACAAAAAACCAAAACTAAAATACTGCCTATATTACTATTCAAAAACCTAGTCTGGTACCATAAATAACTTTCCAAAAGACAGTTATAAAAATTGCTAATATCTATGTTGGTTAATGAAAATTAGCTTAAAATGAAGTAAAGGTAACTAAAATCTCAAGTTAGAAAGAAACTAAACACTACATTTAAGCAACTTTGTTATTCTGATTTTTCCTATACCCAGGAAACAGTAACCCAACTTTCATCATAACATTTATGTGTATCTGCCAAGGATTTGTACTGTCTGTTCCTTGGCAGCAGGTCTCCTCCACTTCTAAGGATTTTCTTCAGTTCTCAAGATTATTCTTGTTAGAACTCACATCTCCCAGAAGTTTGTTCTCTTCTTTTTTTGACCAGCATTTACAAGGTTTAAAATTGTAGAGCTGGGCAGTGGCATCTTATTTCACAAAAATGTGAGAACATGCTGATGTTTCACACATAACATACTACAACCTAAAAAGCTCTTTTGAGTTTGAGATTCTGGTTATGTACAAAATAGAAAACAAAAATACAAACAAAAAATATTAGGATTCTCTAATTCTCTAATCAAATTAAATATTTTATAAAACAAGATGCATTGGACCATAGGGCACATGTGCTGACTACTATTAAAATTCCTAATTTCCTTCTACTTCAGTTAAGTGTTTGGCTTGAAAGATGATAGTGGAACTTTCAAAATGGGATTGTGCTGGGGAAAGGATAATTTATATCATTCTCCAGGATCACAGACTCAAGCTAACCTGGTTTGAAAAGGATGGATTATGGGCGCCTGGGTGGCTCAGTTGGTTAAGCGACTGCCTTTGGCTCAGGTCATGATCCTGGAGTCCCGGGATCAAGTCCCGCATTAGGCTCCTTGCTCGGCGGGGAGTCTGCTTCTCCCTCTGACCCTTCCCCCTCTCATGTGCTCTCTCTCTCTCAAATAAATAAATATTTAAAAAAAAAAAAGATGGATTATTTATTCTTCTTAATAGTGCTATCAGCTAAGTAATAATGTCCCAACTGCAGAGAAAATGCTAAACTTTTATGTCTGTGTACATTCCTACACAGAATTACCTTTATGGTCAATATGGCATAATAGGTGCCCTTCTAAATCCTAGTTTTACCACAAAGCAGGGTAAGAAAAGTCTGTCTTACCTCCAGCCTGCGCTGTTTCTCAGGATCTTCCTCGTTCATGATTCGCTCCTTCTCTGCTCTTTTCTTCTCCTCGCGCCGAGACTGTGCAGCTTCCTGTCTTTGCACATGTGTCAGCTTCAAGAAGTTTTCTTCTACTCGAGCTCGGTTTTTATCTGCTTTCTGTTTGCCCTTTTCCCCAAGAAACAAGGCGTTTCATAAGAAATCCATTTTAATCCAACAGAACCAAGTCCCATTTAGTATTCTTTTATAAAACTATTCCCATTTAGGGGCGCCTGGGTGGCTCAGTCGTTAAGCGTCTGCCTTCGGCTCAGGTCATGGTCCCAGGGTCCTGGGATCGAGCCCCGCATCGGGCTCCCTGCTCGGCGGGAAGCCTGCTTCTCCCTCTCCCACTCCCCCTGCTTGTGTTCCCTCTCTCGCTGTGTCTCTCTCTGTCAAATAAATAAATAAAATCTTTAAAAAAAAAAAAAAAACTATTCCCATTTAGCACTTTCAGGTCAACTAGCAAACTAGCAAAAATAAAATCGCTGAAATCATTGCTCTCTGACTCCCCCGAGGAGGAAAACAACAATAAAAGGTGCCAACTTATAATAAAGGTTGTGGGTCTTACTTCTCTGTTGAGTCGGAACTTTTTGGCTTTATCAATAGAATAAATCACCATGTTCATCAGGGGCAGCAAAGCCTCCATATCCTTTGGGTAAGTGTTACCTGAGCCAGGCACTGGAAAACAAAGCCATTTTCCTATTGAGTTAATGGCAGCATTAATGCTTCTGGGTCACCCAACTCTTTTATTTATTATTTATTTATTTATTTATTTAATCCCCCCTCTCCTTTTTTATTAATAGACTCCTTTCTCCAAGTGTCTTAGGCAGCTAAAATGCAGCAGAAAATAGAAATTAAAATAAATAAAAGGATCTCTTATTGAAGAAACCCCAAAACCAATAAGCAGGCAGGCATGGGGTTGGTTTTAATGTAGTTTTTTATGGCTATCATTTAGGAGGGAATACTCTCCTTAAGATCCTCTCACAGAAAATGAAGAACCCAGGCAAGACCAGAGAACACTTACCATTAAATGTAAACAATAGTGTCCTCTTAGTGTCAGGCAGCTTTAAAGGCTGACCTTCCCTGCCATAAAAGAAAGGCTATTTAGAAAGAACACAAGAAAGATACTTTCCATTCACGTATGTCACCCAATTCACTTAGAGGAACAGATTCCTGCAGATAATCAGCACAGTATTTGGCTTGGCATCCCCAAGTTAAATATAATCTCAGAGCCTGAAGGAGCTTTACAGGTCCCCTGGTCCACTTGTCTTATCTGATGGATACATTCCCAAGTGATCTTTATCCTATACTTGAACACCTCCAGGCAGGATATATTTCTCTCACCTGGGGAGCCAGAAATGAGCCTATTTAAGTATTAGGCCTGTATTTTAATAATATTTTTGCTTATTTTGATGCATTTTTGTTTTATTTCCAACTCCTACTCTATCTTCCTATAATGAAGCATCTTTATTTTTGAGTCAGGCTCAGAATAAATTTAGAAATGATCTACTATAGCATATATAATTTAGTTCTGACTCATCAAAGATTCCTTCGTAATCTTTAACTATCAACCCCCTCTCCTCCCCTCACACATAAAAGGCTCCATGAATGTCACAATGTGATACTCTGCCCACAGTGTTGTTATTGAGTTGAGCAAGGCAAGGATGATGCAACACGATCCACAGGTGTAAGGACCTGAATAATTCTGACCTACAACTAAAATCCAGATTGGCTTTTAACTGTACTTAACTCCACAGATTATGAGAGAGAAGCCCTTAACCAAAAATTTAGGTCAGAACTAATTATACACCAACGGTAAACTTAAATAAGTATGCGCTCCTGAGATAGGATGTGATTTCAAACAACAAATTTAAGCTGTGAATATCAACATCCAAAAAGCCAGAAACTCTGCATATTGAGAGCATCTGATAATACACTAGGAAAGAATATAATCACCCAACTATTCAAAGAAGAAAGTCAGAAAAGGCCATGAAATAAAATGCAGAGATCTGCAATCAAACATAAATCAAAATCAGATTCGTATCATAAATTAAAAAGGGAGGAAAAAAAACTTCCGACTACAAAGGACAAAGAGATTAGCAATTTGCATTTTCTTAGTATCTGCCATCCTGTAAGAGTCTCATCTACCTCACTGAATGGCTGGTGCATACATGCGGTGACCCATTGCAAACTCGGGGGCTTATTTGTTTGTCTCCCATAGGATTTCAATTACCTTCATGACACATGCAGTCAAAGCAAAGGAAAACTTAGAATGCCTGTCATCAACTTCCCTCACTCATTTGGTAAGAAAAATTGCAAAAGCACCTTGCAGGTGTTTCAACACAAAAAGCTAGTGGGGACGGTTAATTTCAGTATTTTTATCTCATACGTACTCTTGCATAATTTTTGGACCAGAGAACTGGTCTGAAAAATGAACGGATTCAATCTTGTCAGCATAGTGTGTAAGAAAGTGAACCATCTGAAATAAAGAAAAAAAAATTTTTTTTAAAGTAGGGTTTGATGCATTTCCCTTTTTTCATAAAGATATTCACTCCTTAGTCCTCCTTGATTTTTCACAACAGCATTACAGTTAAAGCTTTTAAAAAATGAAGTTTAAATGAGGGATCTCTCTACAATGAAACTAGCACCTTTCTTTAGTCACACCAATGATCAAATTTCTTCTTATTGAGCAGCTGAAAATATATCTCAAAATAATGTTCTGAACAAGAATGAATGCACGAAGATAAAATCTAAAATAATTTCAGGGGATTCTCCATAAACACATCACCTTGAACTTACATTAGAACTGTCTTTGAGCTACTCTGTATTTTTATGATGCTAAGATGTGCTTGCTGTTACCATTCCATAACCAATAGAAAAAAATGGTTCTCTATACATTTCTCTTCTACACTAACTGAAGCTAGGAAAAAATGGACTAAATGACATGGTGATAAGGATTAATGCTGTAGTCCTTTTACAAAAACTTGAAAGCCATTAGCAATCCTAGGAATAATTTGCTCTTGATTCAGAGAGAATTATTTGACTAATCAAACTGTCTCTTTTGACAAGTTAATCTATTGCTTAAAGAAGGTATTTTAATGTTTGTGTGGGAAAGGAATAGAGCAGTGTCATAAAATGAAGAACTTGTGCAGTGTGACTTTTAGGGGGAGTGCCCTGTAATCGCTACAGTCTGCAAATGTATGTCTTCTTTTGCATTTACCTTTGTATCCATCATTCCCTCTGTGACTTCTCCCATCTCTGACAGGATGGCCAAGGAGTCTGGCAGTCCATACTTCGCTCCAGACTTAGGTTTGTCACTACAAAACTCACTCTAAAGGAAGAAGTAATTAAAGGTAAGACATGATATTTTATTATGCACAAACTTTTTTTTCCTCAAGAGAATATGTTCTGACCTATTTCAAAGTGGTGCTTAATAATTCAAGTGATATAATTAACTACCCTATGCTCTAAAGTTGAATGCCTGTGTAATAAAGAGAACAGTTCTACATGTATTTGAGTTGGAATGAGACATACCAGATCCTGCATCTCTTTCTGGAGTCGAACCAAGGCTTTCCGAGTGCCAACAGCAAACACATAGGTATCCATGTCTTCATCATTCATGGTTACTTTTATTTGCTTTAAAAACAACAACAACAAAACTCACCTGTTAGGTTCTGTGATAGGCAGAGTTCTATGATGGCCCCCGAGAGTCCCACCCCCCGGTGTCTACATCCTCCCCGTGAACATGAGGAACCTGTGAGTATAATGGTTATCACTCCCGTGATTATGTTGTGTCATGTGGCAGAAGGCTGCTGATCAGATGACACTGAGTCAAAAGGGACTTTATCTTGGAATGCCTTAATCAAGTGAGCCCTCAAAAGGGACTGGGCCCTGGTTGAAGAAAAGAGTTGAATTGAGAAAGGGCTTATGGGGGGGGAAGGGGACCATGTGGCAAAGACCTCAGAATGGCCTCTAGGAGCTGAATGGTTTCCAGATGGCAACAGTAAGAAAATGGGGACTTAAAACTTAAAAACAGTAAGAAAATGGGGACCTGACTTGTCAACAACCTAAATGACCTTGAAAAGAGGACCCCAAGCTCTCGAAATTCAAGTTGCTTGAACATTTGGACTTGCTGGGAAGACAATGTAGCCAGAGAGGGCCTGGAAGCCCTCTGCATACCACCCCCACTCCCATACCTTGCCTCTCTTCCATTTGGCTATTCCTGAATTGTATCCTTTATAATAAACCAGTAAATGTAAGTAAAATGTTCTGTGAGCCATTCTAGCAAATTACTGAACCCGAAAGAAGGGCCATGGGAACTCTTCATTTATAGCCAAATAGTCTCAAAAGTACAAGACTTGCCTGGGACTTGCAAGTGGCATCTGAAGTGTGAGTAGTCTTATGGAACTGAGACCTTTAACTTGTGGAGTCTGGCACTAACTCCAAGTCAGATGTGAACTGAACTGAATTACTGGACACAAAGCTAGTATCTGGATAACCAGAGAACTGGCTGTTCATATTGGGAAACGCCACAGATAAACAGTTTTTAATACACTGCATTGGACCAGGGAGATAAAGTTATAAACCTCGAGTCTGGTATGATAAAACATAGCACTATTTGTCACATTAACTATATCTTAAAATATCTGGGTCAAAAATTATCAGTATTGGGGCGCCTGGGTGGCTCAGTCGTTAAGCATCTGCCTTCGGCTCAGGTCATGATCCCAGGGTCCTGGGATCGAGTCCCACATCTGGCTCCCTGCTCGGCAGGAAGCCTGCTTCTCCCTCTCCCACTCCCCCTGCTTGTGTTCCTGCTTTCGCTATCTCTCTCTGTCAAATAAATAAATAAAATCTTAAAAAAAAAAAAAATTATCAGTATGTAGAGGGAAGTGTTAAAGTAGGGAAATATAGCAAAAACCTGGCAAGATGGCAGCTCTAAAAGGAAAGGCTTTCTGCTCTTCCATCACTGAGCAGAAATTATACAAAACAACTTAAACAAAACCCAGAAAAAGGGCTAAAAAATACACAGAATCGTGTTTGTTGAGGCTGTTTGTCTTTGCAGAAAAAATAAGAGATAAAACGATGGCTGACTCAGGAAAAGATACTAAATCTACCTCAAGAAAGAACAGAAAATGATTAAAACAACACTCTAAAGAATAATTTCCACAAAAGGATAGCTAAAGATGCATCAAAATTTCCTCCTTTCTACCTAATAAGATGGTATCTAGTAAGAGAAAGAATGACAGGACTCTTAACTGATGAGGCTTTAAAAATTAGTGGATTAGGGGCGCCTGGGTGGCTCAGTTGTTAAGCGTCTGCCTTCAGCTCAGGTCATGATCCCAGAGTCCTGGGATCGAGCCCCGCATCTGGCTCCCTGCTCGGCGGGAAGCCTGCTTCTCCCTCTCCCACTCCCCTTGCTTGTGTTCCCTCTCTCGCTCTCTCTCTCTCTCTGTCAAATAAACAAAATCTTTAAAAATAAATAAATAAATAAATAAATAAATAAATATTAGTGGATTAAACCATTAGTGGCCATATGAGAAAAATTAAAATGAATAAAAGATACAGATTTGCAACTAAAAATGAGACCTTTAAAATAATAACAATGAGTTTCAATCCAAAGACATTTCAAAGTATCTAATCATATTACTAATACAGTACTTATTAACCAAATACTACTTTGTATTTTGACATATATGCAGACATCTCTTGTTCTTCTAGTTTATATAAAAGAGACTGTATATTTTTGTATATTTTGGTTTCTTGCAGCAGTGGGAGCCAGCACAATTATTTGTTGAATAAATGAAGGGGGGGGGATTTGGCATTTCTGACAAAGGATACAATTTGCAGATCAACATGTTGATTTAAATAAAGGGAAGAAGGTATACCAAACAATAAGGTCCCCAGATCATGATTTGAACTTCAAGATGTATTCTTTGAAACGAACAATATTTAAGAAACCCACCTTACTATCAAAGATAAAAGCATTCACAAGGCACAGAGTAAGATGTGAGAGCAAACTGTGACAACTATTTTTCCCTCCATCACCCAGGTTGATTCAGCGAATTTACCTAGTGAGAGAATATTATCTCCTTCCCTACAAAAAGCACACGTTCCCCACTCTCCATGGTTGGTACACTAAGTAGAAGACAATCCATCAAAATAGAAAAGAGTCCATTTTTGACAAGGGACACAAGTTGCTTGAAATTCAAACAGAATCCAGGCAAGGAATGAAATAAACTCTAAGAAGTTAAGAATTCAGTCTGTACAGAGAAAACCAGCAGGAAGAATACATACCACTTGATCACTCACTGGTCTCATCATCCGGGCCAGGACATTCAGTAAGTCTTGTCTCTTGAGGAACTGAAAAAAACAAGAGAATAGTTGCAACTTTTATTACTATAAAGAAAAGACCTTGAAGGGGGAATCAAATGTTTCAAGAAATATACTCTACATTTGCCAAATAGTCAAAAGATGATTTTTACATCATTTTTTTAGCCAAAAAACAAAGGATAAGACCATGAACTTGAATTTGGAATCACAGTGGAAAACAATTAAAGAGGATATACATCGTACCAGAAATTCCATACTTACCCTCAGCTGGATAAGCATCCCTTCACAGCACACTCGGCCAGAACACCACAGGTTGTAGATATGCTCATTCTCCTGGTTCAGCTTTCCTGTGCTTGTGGCTTCTTTGTTAGTTCCATCATCCCCTAGGGGTAAAACCACTTAATGTGATTTGCTGAAAATGCTGGGACCTAATCACCACACTTCCTCCACTCTGACACCCAAATGATCATCGTTTTGGGGAAGCAATACTTTACGATCTTACAGAACTCTCCTTTGGACATACATTAGAACAGATGGTCATCATTCCTTTCAATACTCTTTATTGTCTCCATCAAAAAATTATGGATTCTAGGGGTGCCTGGCTAGTTTAGTTGGTAGAGCATGCGACTCTTGATCTCTGGGTTGTGAGTTCAAGCCCCATGTTGGGTGTAGAGATTAATTAAAAATGTAATCTTAAAAAAAAATAATCATGGACTCTAGTGTTACTTGTTAATGATGATTAGCTTGGAATATAAATTTCTCAAAAGTAGATACAAAATGGAGCAAAGTCAGTTTAAATGTCTCTGTCAAAGGTTAAAAACAAAAACTCCTATGCAGTGAATAAAAAATACCATTAATACAAACTATTCACCACTCCCTTCTGTGTCACCTATGGATTAACTTTAACCAAGTTTGGTTTTCCAACAGCAACATGGTAATAGTGCCATTAAGAGTTCAATTTTAGATCTAGAAAGAGCTCAAATTCCAATCATTTCCTCTCTTCATTTAATTCATTAAGTGTACAAAAGAAATTGTTCAACGTCACAAGGTAAAGCAGACCAACACACCAAAAGAAAACACATTAAGGGGAAGTGGAAGGCGTTAAAGGCTGTTTATTTTTTTCCTAATTTCCAAGTCAAAAAGTACTCTGAAATACTACGGTACAGTGGAGAGAGGGAGCATGGACATTGAAAGCAGGTAGACCAAGTTCTAATATCATGGTTGCAATTTAATAACTTAGACAAATTTTAACATTTCTGGACTTTAGTTCCTCCTTAAGAAAACAGAAACTATATATCCAACTGACAGTATTGTTACAAACATTAAATAAGCAACAATGTATGCAAAGTACCTAGCATAACATATAAACAGTCTGCTAAAGAGCTGAGCAGATGGGTACTTGCTTACTAAAAGGAAAAAAAGTGTGAAAGGCCAAAGTGAGGTGAAGGTGGGGTGAGTTCGCCTTACTCCCTCCACTACACAAGTACAGGGCTTCCTCTAAGGTATACCTTTTCAGTGGATCCGAAACTAAAGTTCCCAGAACTTGAGGAAATTCTAAGGGATTTCTAATTTCTCAAAGATGAAATGAAAGCATTTATCAAGCTACCTAAAATGTCAAAATTCCTTGTTTTCAGCCAAACTTCTATCAACTTGTTTTAATAGCACTATCTCATGCTAATCAGAAGAGACTAATCAATAATTGCTAACCCTAACTAGCAATTATTGATTAATGAAAAATTAGAAAATTACTTTATAAATGCAATTAATTCAGTACATAAGGCCTAATAAAAATGGGATCCTTCTTGATCCTTCTTGCATCCTCTTCAGCAGTCCATGAAAGCAGTCAGATGCTTATACTGAGGGGAATAAACAGTTTTTACTAGGTGGTGTTCAAGCATACAGCTGGACTTGTATTAGCCTAACTTACCTACTAAGGTAAAGTTGCTCTCCAAAAGCTCTCTATGAGTGTTAAACCAGGCTTGAGCAAGGCGGCTGTTTTTATTCTTCCCAATGATATAATTCATGATGTAGGCGAGCAGACCAGTCACCATCAAAATTTCTAGATAATAACTCTCCCAACTGTTCTGGAGGTGTGCAGGAACCTGAAGATGAACAATCATTCCATTTAATCTTGGCTGAGGTTGAAGGATGGAGTCTAACTCATGGGATAAAGGAGCATGAGAGAAGTTGATAATTTAGATAACTGTCACTGAATACGGTCATACTTTGAAAAATATGCTCATTTTGGTTTTCTAGGTCAGCTTTTGAAAAGATTCTTTAAGGAAATGGGAGGACAAATGGAATAAAATGCTGGAAGGACCTTTGTATTAAACTTGATTCTGAGTCTACCCCCAAATAAACCCAGTTTCTAGTCTCCTCATCATTCCTTGATAAATAAAACTAGGAGGGCTAGAATGATAGGGGTTGCTTCTCTAGGTGTGGAGTTTTATCAGAATAATTGATGTCAAATTCTCGCTATTACATCAACACTAGCTATATGTCACCAATTATATTTCTGGGATTAGTAACAGCCAGATATTTTGTTGGTTAGTTTGGAATTCAGAATCCTGTATACCTACATCAACAATTGTTATTGGGTCTTTATTTTTGCTAGAAGAAGTATCTGGTTTGTCTTCATAACCTTCAAATTCTTCATCATCATATGGCTCACTCTCTGTATCTCCCTCCTACAAAAACGAGGAACAATCTGTTTTCCCCTACAAATGTGGCCAGCAATTGCATCTCATTTTTGTAGGCCATATTTGTAGAGGAAAACAGACCATGTAAGCAGCAGCACAGAACACAGAAATATTCCATGTTTGTAACAAATGGTAACTCTCCATGCATTTGAACTCTGATACAATTCCCACCCACACATGGTATCTATTCTCCACCCCTTCCAGCCAGGCTCTCTATAGAGAAGAAAAGATGGAACATACCACAAAACATCTAGAAGAGCTCCGCCTACTGAACAAAAATTAAGATAGCAGAGAATAAAGATCTCCTTAGAGCTGGGTGTTACTTTTAATGTCTGGGCAAAGTACCAGTTACAAATCTTCCCACCCTTCCACTTTCCCAAGAAATCAAGAAAAAGAACTTCACCTGGGTATCTGCATCTTCAAAATCTCCTTCTTGGTTTTCATCCTGCCCTTCTAACTCCACAGTGGTCTCGTCTTCATCATCTTCAGTTGTTATCACCCGTTGAGGAGATTCAGTAACAGAATCTTCTGTGACATCCTCAAATTCAGCAAAGTCATTATCATCGTATTCTACTATGTCTTCCTCATCCTCAAAATCATCAAACTTGGCTTCAGAGACACTCCCGAACACCAAAAGGACAATACAGAAAGCAAGGAAGGCTTTCATTGCATCTAAAAATGAGTTAATAAATAAATAAATAAATAAACAAACAAACAAACAAACCAAAACCCTAAATGGACAGCCATTCTTCTATACATACCAATCAAATTTTATAAATAGTTAAAAAATAAATCTGTGACTCTCTCCTACTTTTTAAAAATTTAATACAATTCATTTCAGGTAGCGTTATGCAAAGAGCGATGAGGTGAGGGTCAAGAGGTCTGGGTTCTAGTCTGGACTCTGTCACTAGTTATCTGTGAAATCTTGGACAAGTCATTTAATTTCTTTAGGTGGTTTCTTTTTTTTTGTTTTAAAGATTTTATTTATTTGTCAGAGAGAGACAGGGAGAGAGAGCACAAGCCGGGGGAGTGGCAGGCAGAGGGGGAGGGAGAAGCAGGCTCCCCGCTGAGCAGGGAGCCCGATGTGGGACTCGATCCCAGGACCCCGGGATCATGACCTGAGCCGAAGGCAGACACTTAACCGATTGAGCCACCCAGGTGTCCCTTTAGGTTGGTTTCCATTAACACCATGTATTCAATAAGCATTTAGGAACTGGGAGGAAGTATAATGAAATAAGAATGAAATGCAACTATTTACCTGTTAGCAGTAATACGTGAATAGAAAAGCCATTCGTCCTTAGATCAACTTTATGTGTGGATATGTGGACATCATCATCATCAAAGCAAATGTTTAAGATACAAAAGTTCTAGGCCCTGTCCTAAAGGCTTTACAAAAAACCACTAACTTAATCTTCATAACAACCCTTGAAGAAAAGTAACATTAACATCTCTGTTTCACAGATAAGTAAAATGAAGCACGGGGATGCTAAGTAATACAAATACCAAGTGGCATAGAGCTATGATTTGATGCCAGTTATGCCTCCAGAATCCCTACTATGAACCACTTCTCAAAGCTGCTTCTCAAATGTAGGCCAGTGGCTGTGATTTCACATCACTTGCTTAAAGTAGTAATTTTTTCTAACAAAATTGTTCCTAGTGTACATGATGGAATTAAATACATCAGCATTACACAGCTTTCTGAAAAGAACACTAGGTATTCCACCATCTAAAAAAGTTTCTGAACCAACAAATATAATGAAATCAGATTTGTGACAAAAATGTGCCAAATGATATGAAAACACAGAGGACAATGAAATCATCTTACCAAACCAGTAAGGCTTTACCAAAAAAGGAGAACATATGATCTAGAGTTTGAAGAGTAGTTAGATTTAAACTATCAAATCTATTTAGGCTGTATTTCTAGCCCTCCCTTCTCATCTAAACGCCAGCCCTATAGCAGGTGTAACAGTCATGTTACATGACATGTTGTGTAACAGACATGTCCATTTTCATGCCCTACACACTTTTTCTGTATAGGGTCAAATAATAAATATTTTAAGTTTTGTGTACAACATACTGTTCTCCATTACACATTCTTCTTTTTTAAAACAACCCTCTAAAAATATGTAAAAACCATTTTTAGTTCATAAGCTATACAAAGACAGTCTGTCTCTCAGGCTACAGTCTGCTGACCACTGCCCTACAATCATCTCAAAATCAACAGGTACCTGGGGTGCCTGGGTGGCTCAGTCAGTTGAGTGGCTGCCTTGGGCTCAGGTCATGATCCCGGGGTCCTGGGGTCAAGCCCCACATCGGGCTCCCTGCTCAGCAGGGAGCCTGCTTCTCTCTCTCTCCCTCTGCCTGCCTCTTTGCCTACTTGTGCTCTCTATCAAAAAAATAAATAAAATCTTTAAAAAAAAATCAACAGGTACCTGAATCTCTCTCTCTCTATGTTAATATCAATCCTATTTTTCCAGTCTTACTTGTTGAAAAGAGCAAGATATTTAATTTCTCATTTTCTTTTCCCTTTGATATCTAATCAGACATCAAATCCTGATGTTTCCTTCTTTGGTTCCCAAAGCCACCATGATAATCCAAGTTATCATCACCTGCTGAAGAATCACAGTGTTATCCTAAATGGTCTCCCCATCTCAACTCTCTCCCTACTTCCTACTTCTCTTCCAAAAAAACCACATTGTCTTCCTAAAACACAACTTAAATTACATAAAAATTCAATAACCATGAAAGGCTAACCAATTCCTACAGAATACTATAAACTCTTCTGGCTCTCACTGCTTTCCATTAGATGATCCTACCATATCTAATCAAATGTACCCTCACTGAACATATCACCACATCAAATACTATGCCCAGAGAAGGAAAACATCATAAATTTGCATGATACTTTAGCTTCAAGGATATGTGTTACTAACAGTATTACTTGTGATAGTAAAAAATTTGAAACTGTTGGGTTAAACTGTGGGTACATACAAAAAACAAATTTATTTTTTGTCCATTAAAAATTGTTACAAATGAAGTAAGAACCCCTCTTGTTTTAGAAGCAAATACACAGGGGTGCCTGGGTGGCTCAGTCGTTAAGCGTCTGCCTTTGGCTCAGGTCATGAACCCAGGGTTCTGGGATCGAGCCCCGCATCGGGCTCCCTGCTTGGCGGGAAGCCTGCTTCTCCCTCTCCCACTCCCCCTGCTTGTGTTCCCTAGCTGGCTCTCTCTCTGTCAAATAAATAAATAAAATATTTTTTTAAAAATATTAAAAAAAAAAGCAAATACACAAAAACGAAAAGGTTTAGAAGGGCGTATATCTATATATAAGTAGTTATTTTGTATGGTAAGATAATGGGCATTTTGCCTTTACTTTTTAATTTACCTATAATGTGATTTTGTAATAAGTTCTTTAAAAAAAATAAAGTAAGGGACACCTGGGTGACTCTGTTAAGCATCTGCCTTCGGCTCAGGTCATGATCCCAGCCCACATTTGGCTCCTTGCTCAGCTGGGAGCTCACTTCCCCCTCTGCCTGGCGCTTCCCCTGCTTGTGTGCACACACATGTGCACGCACTCTCTCTCTGACAAATAAATTAAATCTTAAAAAAATAAATAAAATAAAAGCCTGGTTCCTGTCCTCAAGAAGAGGTGCTGCAGTCTATGGGAGAGCTATACCACAAAGCCCTGAAATAACATTTTTTAGAAGTTTGGTATAATGGAGCACTGGGTTCGTAGACCCAAGTCAGGGAAATTAGGCTAGGAAGGCCAGCAGGAGCCAGATCATGATGATCCTTATTTAAATACCACACTAAGAAGTTTGGATATTTAGAATCAACTGAAGGGTTTAGGTAGGAGAGTGGCACTATCAGATTTGCAATTTAACCCAGATAGCTCATACATAGGGTGTACTGGGCTTCAGGTGGAATAGGGTACCTGAGGCAGGAAAAATAAAAGTGGCTGAGATAGATAAGAGATAAAACAAGACTGAACTGGCAGTACTATTGGGGATGAACAGGAAAACAATTTGACAGATACTAAGAATTATACTCGTCAGCATAAAATGACTGGATATAGGAATATGGGAAAGGAAGATCCAGATGATTCCAAGTTTTGGCTTGATTCAGAGCTAAACAAAGTCATCCTTGAGATAAAGAATAAAGGAGGAAAAACTGGGTGGGGGGAGGCAATAAATTAAATTTAGTACCTGTTGAAAAGCTTGGAGTGTTTTCAGGTAGTATGTTAGATGATTAACATTTATCTCTTGATTTTCACAAAATCCCTATAAAAAGGATTACCAATTTTATAGAGGGAGAAAAGAAAGTAGTTTGAAATATGTCTGGAGTTCTTAGGACAGAAGCCTAAGATGGAAATAGAGATGGTGCTGGAATAGATGAAATCCCCAGGGAGTATTAAGAATTAGGTTAAAAAACAAACACCAAAACTCTTGAAACAAATCATAACAGCTAAGAGATGGGCATAATAGGAAGAAGCAGAATGGGAAACTAAGAAGGAATGGTTAGAAAAAAAGAAGAGGGGCTCCTGGGTGGCTCAGTTAAGCATCTGCCTTTGGCTTGGGTCATGATCCCAGGGTCCTGGGTCTGGTCCTGAGCTCTCTGCTCAGTGGGGAGCCTGCTTCTCCCTCTCCCTCTGCCTGCTGCTCTGCCTGCTTGTATTCTCTCTCTGTCAAATAAATAAATAAAATGTTTTTAAAAATTTTTTTAAAAGAGTAGATGTTAAAAAGTTCTCATCACAAGAAAAAAATTTTAAAAAAAGAAAGAAGAAGGGACTATGGTCAAAGTGGTATCATAGAAGTAAAAGGAGAAGCATATTTCTAAGAAGGGAACAGAGCTCTCTCTTTTTTTTTAAGATTTTATTTATTTATTTGAGAGAGAGAGAGATAGTGAGAGCAGGAACACAAGCAGGGGGAGCAGAAGAGGGAGAAGCAAGCTTCCCGCCAGCAGAGAGCCTGACTTGGGGCTCAATCCCAGGACCCTGGGATCATGACCTGAGCCGAAGGCAGACGCTTAACGACTGAGCCACCCAGGCACCCCAGCACCAGGGGACATTTTATGGAAAAACATAGCTGCCTTCTCAACGCTAACCTTAAAGAGGTTTGTGATATGTCTCCAAACATCTCTAGTTCCTTTAATAATCTTTTATTATACTCAAAAGTGGAAGAAATATGAAAAAGTGCACAAACTTTGGTGGAGTTACATTTGGTTTAAAACATTAGCTCTACCATTTACAAGCCATATGATCTTGGACTAATTACTTAAAATTCCCTGTTCCTCACATATAAAAAAGGGACACCTATTCAGTATTTGTCTCATAAGGCTGTAGTTGGTATTACAGGAGATATGTGCCTGGCATATAGAAGGCATTCAATAAATATTAGTTCTCATTACTTCCTTCAAGCCCTGTGCCTATGAACACCCTTTAAGATTTAAAAAACTTTTAGTGCTCCCCTTTCCAGATCTCAGTTTTATACCTTTTCAAATAGAAGCAAATAAAGATGAACATTGGCACAGACAACTTGATTAACTGCCAAAAAGTCTGATCATTTCAAATTGAACTTCCACTTAGAATGTTCACACATAGAAACATTTCTAAGATAACTCAGCATTGTAACACGGCCTCTTCAAGGTTATTTAAGTTAAAATTATCCAAGCCACTTATATCTTGGCCTTCCTTCTGTGAAGTTTCTCTGCTGCACCTGTCATCTCATTTTTCAAAGGCACAGCTCCCTGCCAGGCCACCCAGTCCTGAGAGTCCTGGGGCAGGGAACACAAGCACTGACAAGTCTGGTTTGATTATCTCCCTAACTCACTCGGTAGTCTCTGAGTAACTGGGTCTGGACTTAAAAACCTGAAGAGGAGTAAGTGGGGAAATCATTCCTTGTTGTCATTTTAGATTAGGCCTTTCTGACAACTGCCAGACTACCAGACTTCTGGAAAACATGTAGACATTCTCCAGTCTCCTTACACCCGTTGGATAAAAACCGTCTTATGTCAGAAAACCTGAGAAGACTGACCACAGAGGTTGTTGCTTCTGTTAATAACAGCCACTGGGGTCTATCTAGTCTTTCCCACCACGGAGAATCAATTCATCCTAACGGTTATACTCCATTCTTCCTGTTGCACACTGTAAGCTTCCTGTAACTTTGCCCTTCTAGTTGGCATATGCCCATGGCTCTGCGAGCAAGTTCTCAAAAACCGTTAAAATCACCTCAACCCCGAAGACCAAGAGAAAATGGGCCTTGGGGTGGACGAAGTTTGTTTTCTGTTTTTAAGAAGGTCAGGAAAGGTGAGAAGGCGCGATCCATGTCACCCCGGGCCTGACTCAGGGGGGCTGGGTGGGAAACGGGACCCGGCTAGGCCACGCAACTTAAAGTCACCGCTCGGCCTGGCCCGGCCCCACCGACTAACGCGTCATGGCCCGTCTCGTACCTGTACTGCGGCTAGAACCCGGCCCAGCGCTCCTGCGGCCGCCGCTTCTCGGCCCGACTGCCACCTGAGCGATCACCGCGATTTTACTGCCCCCGATCCCTCTAGGACACAGCCGGATCAGGTAGATCAATCACGCTGAGCCACTCTTCACGTAGTCTCCGCCATCCGTTACGTAGAATGCGTGCGGACTGTCCGCGCCTGCGCGCGGCTGGCGGGGGGGAACCGGGAGCGGAATGCGGCCCCAGGAACCGCGCGAGACCTCCTCCTCCCCCGCCCAGCGGAGGCAAGGTGGGGCTGCTGGGAAAATTACATAATCCCGGCCTCCTGGCCGGAACTGTCCACGCCGATCCCAGCCTTCTCCACTAGGGTTCAGTCAAGTTGTCATCACTCTAAACTGGTGCTCCGGAAGCTAAAGGTGGCCATGCTCTATGAGACCACGTGGCCAGAGGCATGCGGAAAAATGTTGCCTAGGTCGTATTTGCAAAGGATCAGAGTTTAGGGAGTCCACAATTTTATGTATATGTGGTTTCCGCCCAAGCCCTTTTTTGGGGGGATTTCTAGACGGCTGTCATCGCTACGCTTTCTTCACCCCTAGGCCCACCTCCTGGGCTACCAGCATCCCCCCAAGCAGCTGTGTCTGGTGAGTGAGAAGTCTGTGAAGCGTTCTGGAGCTTTAAGGTCCGGAGCCCAGGGCGCCTTCCGGGAGCCGTAGTCCCCCAGGCCCCGCCCATCGGCCCGCGCTCTCTGCACTGCGCATGTCAGCTTTGCGTTCCCCTCCCCCCGGTCAGCAACGGGCCGAGAAGCGGCGGCGGCGGCGGCGGCGGCGAAGGGGGCGGAGAGGAAGGAGCGCGGTGGACGCGGCCTGGACCGCGCGTACTCTGGCGGTGGGATTCTCTCCGCGTTGGCGGTAGTATCAGGTGCCGCTGCAGCTAGAGCGGCAGGTCTGTGCGAGGTGGGTATGGTCTCGGGGTCGCTACCTTTGGGGCCACTGGAGACAGCTGTGGGGCCTAGCAGGGACCAGGGAACCGCGGCCTCGCTTAACAAAAGAGTCTGCGGAGCTTCGGGGCACCGGAGGCCCAGGGGTCCGGGAGGGGTGGGAGTGCGAGGCAGAGGCCTCCAGGGGTCCTTCCCAACCTCGTCGCCCTCCCACGACTCCCGCTTCTTCCATAACTCTCATTGTGGCCCAGTTGGCGGCTTTCCGGAGGCGGCACCCGCCCGCCCGCCCCGCTAAGAAAGGGATTTGCAGGGTGCCGAGCTCCGGTTAGGGATAGCCACAAGGAGGGTTCTGACCGAAGTCGGCAGCAGTTGGCAGATGCAAGCCTCCAAATCAGGGGGACCCGATAGGTAAAAGTTGCCAAATCGGAAGACGGTAAAAACGTAGTCAGTGATCTTTGTGCAGCCTTGAGTACATCACTATTGTCGCACAAACTTTTTTGCGGCCTATTTAAGAGCCTATTTGATGCGGGTAAATAATTTATATGGAGTTGCAAGCATACGCACCAATAATATAAGGAGGAATTATCTTGCTAGTTGAGAGTTTGGGGGAATTACAGCTTTCCTCATCACTTCAGTGAAGCATTCCCCCTTTGCTCCTCACTCCTTTAGGTAGACATTCAATTTCCTTTGGTTGTATATTGTGTTTTGTAAGTGATGTTTCTGTGTCTATTCTCCATATGCCCACCCCAGAGCTCCTAAAGGTCAGAGATTATTTCTTAATCCACTCTAACTTTCCAGAGCCAAGCCCAGTTCTGGCACATAGGAGGTGAGCAATATGTATTTCATACAAAAATTAACTTAGATTTTCAGCGGTGGAAAAAAAAAGTAGGTTGTATTTTCTTTTACCTAGAAGGGGCATTATATGGTCTGATTTGCAATTCATTCAAGGAGTATTTTTATTGACGTCTGCTCTGTGCCTGACCACTGCCCTCCTGAAACTTACTTTCTAGTTGGGGAAAGAGAGATAATAAATTATACTATATGTTAGAAGACGATTACTGACTTAGGTTAAAAAAAAAAGGCTAGAGAGAGGGATGGGGAGGTATTGCATTTTGAAATAGGGCAAGCAGGGAGATATTTACCGATCAGCTGATATTTAAGCAGCCTAGAAGGAGGTGAGGGAGTGAGCCCAGCAAGTGTCTGGGGAAGGGAACATTCCAGGCAGAGGGAACAGCAAATGTAGAAGACCTTGAAGAGGACAATGCTGGCCTGTTAAGAGGAATAGTTAGAAGACCAGTGTGCTCTAAGAGCATTGTGAGCAAAGGAGGAGTAGTAGGAGATAAGGCCAGGGAAGACCTGGGGGAGGGAGCACCAGAACAACCAGGAACTTTCAGGCTATTAGGAGGATTTCACTTTATCTCTGCCTGAGATGAAAATCATCTGAGGCTTTTGAGCAGAGAAATGGTAAGATCTGACTTAAGTTGTAATGATTTAGTGTAATTCATGGAGGAGTGCATTTTTTCTTATTTTAGTTTTATCAAATTCATATTCATATAATCATCTTAGTTTCTTTAAGCTAACAGAGAGGAAAGAGATGCTTCCAAAATAAGTGTAACCAGAATTTACTTGTACTTGGCTTTAGGAGAAAATGAAGAAATTCTCAGGTTTTGTACAGATTCTCATTAAAGAATTGCCCAGTTTATAGTGTGTGAGATGCTCTCAAGGCAGATTATTAGATAGAGTAGATGCTAATCAACTGTCACCAGAACTTTCTCCTATTCCAGAAACACAAGTGATAAAGTAACAAGGTTTTATAATCAGTTGTTTTGTAGTCCACTATTTTTAAAGGCATTTAGATCATCTTATTTTCCACCATTGCCCAAAACATAAACTCTAGACAAATTATTTTCCTTATGTTCCACTCTTATTCTGCCTTTGCTTATTCTTCCTAGCCTTTGCTGTTTCTAGCTCTCTCTCTTAAAATGTCTTCTTCCTGGGCGCCTGGGTGGCTCAGTTGGTTAAGCGACTGCCTTCGGCTCAGGTCATGATCCTGGAGTCCCTGGATCGAGTCCCGCATCGGGCTCCCTGCTCGGCAGGGAGCCTGCTTCTCCCTCTGACCCTCCCGCCTCTCAGTGTGCTCTCTGTCTCTCTCATTCTCTCTGTCTCAAATAAATAAATAAAACCTTAAAAAAAAAAAAAATGTCTTCTTCCTTCATACTTCTCTAATCAGCTTGCATCTTCTGTGCCTAGCCTGGGGTTCTAGCTTTCTTATAAAGCCATCCGCACTTTGTCAGCTCTTCGTGATCTCTGACATCTTCAGTGTCATGTGGCATGTATGTGTGGGATCCCTGAGTTGAAAGAGATAAGAGAAGTCTAGCTTGATACTCCCCATTTATTAGTGGAGAAATTGATTTCTGGAGAAATAATGCTAAATATGACGGCAATACGTATTGTGCACTTGTATGTGCCATGCTTTGTTCTAAGTGTAATTTTGTGTATGAACTCAATTTTTCACACTGACCCTGTCAAGTAGGTGATATTCTCAGCATCTTACAGACCCAGAGAAACTAAATAACTCCCTTGAGGTTCACATCAAGTTAGTGGCAAAGCTAGGGTTTGAACATAGCCTGGCTCCATAGTCTGTTATATTTTACTATGCTGTTATGATTTTCTACTAAATCATAGCATTTTAGTACCTAGAACCATACCAAGTGGGACTTTATGCTGTATCCTTGGCCAAGTTATAAATCTCCTTGGGACTCTTGCATATTGAATAAACAGTGAGTACACACTGTGGAAAACAGAAGAGATTAAAAAAAGCAAAAAAGTCTGGTTCTTCACCTGTGAAACCTGTAACAGAGTTGGAGAGAGAAAATTAGAGCACAAATAGTTATGATTAAATGTTGGGTATTTTAAGACTTGAAAGGGATTGAGGAATGAGCTACCACTTTTCTGGGAGAGTCATTCATGTCATAGCTCTAGGAGTTGGGCTTTGAAGGATAAGACTTTGGTAGATAGGTATAGTGAGAGATTTGGTGGGGAAGGAATTCAGGTAAAGGGAAGAGCATTTACCAATGTACTTGGTTTTCTTGGAAAACCAGTGCATGTGGGGAAACCCTGGGAGATATGAATGGTGAGGTGTGTAGTTTGTTGCCACAGTGGAGAGTTTCATTCCAGCTTGATTGCCTAACTGGAGAGCTACTGAATTGAAGGGAATGACCGAATGAGAAATGTGCAGCGGGAAGGTTTGGGGCCAGGATCTGAAAGAACCTGGAAGAAGGTTGTTGCTGAGCATATGAATGCTCACCGCCCTTGGGTGTGACTTTCCCTAGTTGCACAGTATTAACAAACCAAAGGAGGTCGAAATTCATTTTCTCCTTTGCTACTTATGTCTGGCTCCCTATTACTTCATTATTTTATACTTTACCACAAAGAGTCACTTCTCATAGATGATGAAATATTTGCTAGTTGTAGATGCAGCCTCTAGAAGTACATCACCATGACTTTTCCAATAAAACAGACATTCTTAGGGGCGCCTGGGTGGCTCAGTCAGTTAAGTGTCTGCCTTCTGCTCAGGTCATGATCTCAGGGTCTTGGGATTGAGCCCTGCGTTGCCTCCTGCTCAGTGGGGAGTCTGCTTCTCCCTCTGCTCCCCCACTCATGCTCGTGCATTTTCTCTCTCAAATAAATAAAATCTTTTTTTTTAAAGATTTTACTTGAGAGAGGAGCAGGGGGAGAAGTAGACTCCCCACTGAGCAGGGAGCCCAATCCCCGGGACTCTGGGATCATGACCTGAGCCAAAGGCAGACGCTTAACGGACTGACCCACCCAGATGCCCCAATAAATAAAATCTTAAAACAAACAAACAAAAAAAGGCATTCTAAAAACGCTAGAGTTGAGGGGGTGGAGGATTACTTGTCAAATGTCAAATATCAAATACCAGTCACCTCAGAGAGGCCTTACCTGATTTCTTTTCTCTCTGTAATAGCTTACCTCTTCTTGCTTGCCTTTTTCCTATTTTGTTTTGGTAGCACTTTTGGTACCTGAAATTATGATTTGGTTTTTCTTTCTCCTGGACCAGACTGAACTCCCTGAGGGCTGGGGCTGTGTCTGATTGTGTTACTTTATCCAAAGCACCTAGAACAGTGCCTAGCAAAATAGGCACTCAATACATTTTGAATTATGTCACTCTGGTAATGGTATAACGGCTGGATAACGGACTTGTTAGGAAATATTGCTATAGT